AAAAGTGTTCCGGGTTTGGTTGGTGCTTTGTTCAGTTGGCCGCTCCTTCCTTGCTCCCGATTTTCTTCTGTTGCTTGGGGGGGGTTATGGATGGTTGTGGGGCAAGGCTGTCTAAGCAGTCACCCACCCAACCCAAATGAACAGGGCATTCCAAGGCCCAGTCAATAAATGCTGTAATTTTGGATAGATCTAAACTTTTTTTTAAACAAATTATAGGGGAAAAAATGTTAACTCCAGAAATGGATCTGTTTTCACTTGGGCAAAGTAGAAATAAAAGACGAAGGCAAGTCCTGTAATGTTCAATTTTGTCCCATTAATTTCAGTGTTTATTCATTTATTTGGTTTATACACAAGCTCTATTTGTGCAAGCACTACACTACACAAGCAGTACACCACAATAACGTGCCACCCAGAGTAGACCTTTGGTCTAAATGGGAGGGATAGAACTCCAATAAAATAAATAAATAAATAACAAAACAGTATAGCAATAGAACAATAGTAATCCTTATTTTTAGGTACCCAGATCGCAGGATGGGTTGCAAATATTCACTTTGTGTGTGTTTGTGGGTATATGAAGAGTTTGGAAAAGTTCACAACTCTCAGAATTTTGAGAAGTTACTTTTTGGGATTAAAATTCCCAGGATTTATTCTCCAAACTCTGAATCATATATATATTGATAAATTTAGATATTGTAATCTTGTACAGCAGGAGAAATTTATATCTGTGTTTTTTCCAAGGCACTTTTAGCACAAGTCCACCCCTCCTTCTAAAAAACATGAACTCATCAAAGTTTAAATCCCTTTCTTCAAAACCCAAGCGTGTTTATGTATTTGTTGAGATGAGGGTGTGTGACAATTACACAGACCTCATTACAGTTTAAAGCCACTCCCATCTTCTTCCTTTGCTGTTTGATTATTTTAACCTGGAAGGGTTTATTCCCCCTCCCCTATTAATAAGAGTGGCTTTAACAAAAATAGACACATCTTTCCAATGACCTTTTAACAAGTCCATAATTTCTGAGAAAAGAGGGAGAAGATTTGAAAGACTACAGTAATTTCAGGACCCCTCTTTTTCCCCACTTAGAAGCTCCCTCCCTCCCCTCCCTTTTCTTGGCCTTTTTCTGTCTCAGAAGGCCTTTATTTATTCCCAAGAAAATTTTGTTGCCCCTTTGCTAGACTGCAAAATTGGTAAACCTTTCTTCTGACTGTCCAGTGGTGCAGGCTTTGGAGCACGACAGAGCTCTTCCTCTGATGTTCTCCTGTACTTTCTCTTGCCCTCTTTTTTTTTCCAGGTTAAAAAAAAATGACTTGCCCTAGGCGGTATTACTAGCTAGATGTGCAGTTTGGGAGGAAAGAAAGACAAGAACTAGGCTGTAGCAAATTCAGAGGGTTTTTCCCCCCCTCTGAGGAGTACAAAGCAGTGAGTCCCTTCCTGTTATGATTCTCACAACAGCCCTACTAGGTAGATTTGGCCGAGAAGAGAAGGGGGGACTTCCAGGGTTCGCAGCTGGGAAGATTCTGAACTGCAGTCTTAATTCAACTCTATGGAAGCTGCACTCATTTGTTGTGTGGCTGTTTGCTATCGACACCTGTGACACAGGTCTGCACCCCCAGGCAGCTTCCAGTGCAAAAATGGATGGGGGGGGGAGGAGGAGAGGGGAGGCAGGGCTAAACAACAGAACAATATGGAGCAATTTTAGACTGGTTAACTGACATAATTTAAGGTTTGGATTTGAAGCCCCTTTAAATGCTGATTAAAAAAAACCCAACATGTTGCTTCTTGTAGCCATTGCTAGTGTTGCTAATGTAAGAAATGGTACATAATCATGATTATGATGGTGGTGGTGACGATGGGGTCGAAAAATTCCTGGCCTGTGCTGATAGGCTTATACTCTCTGCCCTGATTTGGTAGCGTTACTGGGCTTGCCCTTCCTCAAAGCTACTGGATCGACTATTAGATTAGTCTGTAGAATAATTCGGGAGCTGGATGGAGACCTGTGGATCCACCAAACTCTTATATGAATCAAGACTTCATTGTGTGATTGTTGTCTTTGTGTTTTGAGGGTTTGGGGCACCCCATTGTACCAAATCTTAGTGCTGATGTATTTCTTTTCACTTTGATTCTCTTCTCCCCACCTCACCCCAAATCGTACCAAATCTTTATGGGTTGTAAGGGTACGCACTTTCCCAGTTACCACAGAACTTGAGCCGATCTAAAAGGAAGCGGATTTCAGCTAGAAAATGTAACTGGTTCAGGTCATGTGGCCGTTAACCTCTTAATCTTTTTGGAAAAGAAAAAGGTTAAGCCCCTTCAGGTTGATAGAAGGATAATGGCATGAATACCCCAGTTCTTATTTCACTGTTTAGGCCTTGGATTGTGGAGTTTTGATCTGTGGATCTTTGGAAATGTGTTCTGCTTTATTTTTAATATTTTAGTGTGCTTCTTTCTGCTCATGCATCTGGCTGTAGATCTCTTTCCTCAAAAGGATAAGAATAATGCTATTACCACTACTATTATCAGGCTGAAGGGTTAAAGGGCTATCTAGGGGCACATTCAGCCCATTGTAGGACATTAGATTTGACCCAGGAAAAATAAGTTGCAGTCCTATATAAATTTACCTGGGACTAAGGTTCATCATGACTTACTTCTGGGTAGACACAAAGGGAATTCTTCGAGTGTCCTAGGTTTCTTCACAGGGCTAATTATATAGTGTGTTACACCTGTGGGGTGTTCGAGTTCAGTGGGATTTTGTTCTCCCCTTAACCAGATCAGTGTCTGTCCCACTCTTCCCTAATTGTTGTGCTAGCCTAGAATGATGGACATTGTAGTCCAGCACATCTGGAAGACACCAGTTTGGAGGATTCTGAGATACAGGATCGCATCCTTGGACAGTGACATAAAGAATGAAGGTGCCAGCGGTTCCTGGCTGTGATTATAAATGGAGCTTCCATGTCCAGTTATAGTCTATCCCTGAATTTCAGCTGCTGGAGGGGGAAATTTGGGGAAGGCAGTAGGCCATGGATGGAAATGAAATGCCTCTGGATTGCATTTTGGCGTTTTTTTCTTCTGTCAAGGTGCCCTCAAAATGTCCCCAATGTCCTTAGTTTCTTGTGCACTAAATATTTAAATAATTCTACAAGTTTAAATAATCAAGGATCATTTCAGTTAATAATTACATATATATTAAGGATCAATAATTAGGTAATATTAATTAATATCAATAATTAAAATTTCAGGGTTGCCCATTTTACCCAGTGTGCTCCAAGGATCAAGGCACTGAGAATTGCTTTGGGGAGGTGGTTCGCTCTGCCACAGATCTCACAGTGTAGCCTTGGGCATATTCTGGGCTCTGATGGTCAGTCTTCCTATCTGTAAAATGGGTATGAAGCCATTTATGTCCCTAATAACAGCGTTGTGTCTCTGGGAAATTAGACTGCCATTTTAAATGAATGAACAGACTGTGCACATACAAAAGGATGAAACAAGGATTAGTAAAGTGCCAGAAAAGAACCTCTAAGGATGAGGAGAACTAAAAGAAAGGTTTTGTCGTGGAATTTGTTAAATTATGCACTGTCTCTAGAGTAAAAGAGAGAAATAACTCTTCTTCTGCTCCCTCTCATAATGATGCTAGGACTTGGGCTCACCCAGTGGAAATAATTAGCAGCCAGTCCAGGTTTTGGGGGGGGGACAAGAAAGTATTTCTTCACCCTATTCCTAATAATTAATGTGTGGGCTTTGCACCCACAAGCTGTAATGGTAGCCATGAACAATGAGGACAACTTTCAGACTTGGACTGGAGGAGAGTAAGTCTATCCATTGTGAAAGCTGGATGGAAACCCCGTGTTTCCATCCAGCATACCTCCAAAGATCAGCTTCTGTGGATGAAGGGAGGCGGGAGGCTCTACTTGCCCTCTCGCTGGGGGGCCTCTTGGGAGGTGGGTCCGAAGAGGAGGGCTGGGGGAGCCCCTGGCATTCATCCAGACACTTTTCTAGGGGTTCCTTCCCCCCACCCTCACCCCGCCACCCCGCTTTAAGATGCACGTTGTAGACAGGCTTTGGGTGTAGACCAGGGGATGGGAAGCCGTACCTGTTGAATAGCCGTCTGCCACACTGCTCTTTAAAAGCCAGGTGTTTTCTAGCTAGAGGGAGGTGGGAAAGAAAGCCCCTTTCTTCAGGAACTGATGGCACCCAGCCTAACTTGAGTCGAGATCTGGGCCTAGGTTGAGCGCCCAGGCCTCTGCTATCCCTTCGGTGCTTCAGCCTGGAGGCAGAGCTCTGTGCCCTGGGTTCTGCCTCCCTTTGCTTGTGCTCTCCAGATGTACCGTAATTTAAACCATGATGTGCCTCTCTGACCCCCACCTTCTTGTCCTCTTTTTTTTTTTGCAAGGAGAATTCAAAACAGTGGGGTGGGTTGTTGGGGGAGGGATGCAGAGAGAGAGAGAGGTTGTGTTGTCTCTGCTTTTAAGAGAGAGTTACATACATGGAGGACGATCTGGTTTTTTTTTGGGGGGGAAAGAGGGACCTCAGGTTGAGACAAAAGTGTAAGTGTGTGTGTGTGTATGTGTGTGTGTGTGTGTGGTGGGAGAAGAAAAAAAGGGGGGGCAGTTGTTTGGAAGCTCCTGTGGCCAGATTCTAGCGAGAGCCCTTCAAGATTGACAGCAGCAACGTCAGCACATGAGGGGGAGGGAAGGAAGGAGGGCAGTCAAGGCTCCAAACTGAATCTGTCTCTCTCTTTTCGCTCTTCTCTTTCTTCCTCTCTCTCTCCCTCTCTCTCTTTCTCTTTTTATTTTAATGGAACACTTGAAAGAGTGGATCTGAGGGCTAAAATGAAATCTGGGGGAACAGATGCGCTGCCTCTCCATCTGTGATAACTTCTCACTGGGTGTCTTCTTTTTTTTTGTGAGGGGGGGGAGGCAGAGAATTAAAAAATTATAATAATCCAGAATCAGAACCTGGGTTCTGTTACTGCATTCCATATATATTTAATTTTTTTGCAAAGGATTTGGGAAAGGAAGGTGACTTTTTTTCCAAAGGATGCTGAGCCCCGTTGGATGCTTTTGATGAAGCAGCAGCAGCAGCAGCAGCAGCGTGAAACTTCTCCAGACTTCTCCCAGTCTTGAGCCTCCAGCGATTACTGTGAGTCAAGAGCCTCCCTCCGCTCCCCCCACCCTAACCCTAACCCTCCGGTGGCAAGGCAAGGCAAGGCAAGGCAAGAGGTAGGCTAAAAGGAGGAGATGTGGAAAGGGGTGTGTGTGCTCTAGATATAAGGCAGTGTTTACCTCCTTCCAGTCCTTGCCTGTTAGAGTCCTTGAATGTAGACTAGGTGACTTGGGGGTGGGGAGGAAGGACCAAAGGGAAAGTACAAGAATGTGTATCACAGCTCTTTTGAGCACCACAGGCTGAGAAAGCAGGAAGACCTACTTCTGTGATGCCCGGAGAACCAACACTACGTTTTCATGGTTGACTTGTGCACCTTGGACAACCTCCAGTTTACTTGAAATAATGGCATGTCTTCCTTCCTTAAAAAAAATTAAGCACCCCCTTTTATGTATTCCCTCCCCCATCAGCCCCTCTTCAGTGTGATGGCGGGGGGGGGGTAATCTTGTGTGTATGTGTATGTTGTGGATGGAAGCATTTTGTCATTGATGTCTGGGGAAGGGGAGGGAGAAAGAGAGAGTCCTGTTTCTATAAAAGCTATTTTCCCTGCTTAGGTCAAAGGCCTTAAGTGACAGTGTTTCAGGGAGGGGGGGTTGGGAGTCTGGGAGCCCTTGGAGGTGACACCTGTGTAAATTTCTGGGGGAAAGGAAGGGGAATGGTGATCTGAGAGACCATCTGTAGGGGGGGTTGTTTTCTTTTTCCTTTTTTTTTTTTAAAGAGCATCCTAGATTGTGTTGTGGCTAATTTTTCCTTCTTAAAATTGTGGGTCCGTAATGGGATTGCGGGAAATTATCCAAACCCCCCCCCTGAATTTCAAAGTGTCCCTCGCCCCTATTTATATAAAAACAAAAAACTTGATGCCCCCCCCCAGCTGCAGCAAAAAATCCCAAATTTATTGGAAAAGAACAAATGTTGTCTTTCAATTCCCCTCCCCATGCTTTTATTTTTCACATTTCAAAAATATACCCTACACTTCTGGAATTTAATATGCCTTGCAGAATCTCTGGTCCTACAGAACCTTATTCAGAGGTTGCTCAGAGGAGCCTTGAGTTCATCAGAATTTACAGGGCAATTCTATTGGATGTAAGTCAGACCCTCTGAATTCAGCAGAGCCTGGCTCCTAGGTGAGAAGGTATGCATTACCTCTTAATTCAACTGGCTAGTAAGATTTTTCAGATTGCAGCATCAGATTATGGATAGTTCGGACCTTGTTCCACCGGAACACAAGGAAGATAGATATAGATCTAATCTAAATATCGAACTTGTTTGATGCATCAACAGGTCTTGGCAGGACTTTTTTTTTTTTAAAGAAGTCCCCAAATCATCAGGGCTTGCAGCTTAATGCAACAGCGGGAGATCCGGAAACGGAATCCAACGCAGAAAGAGAAATTATTTTGGAAAAAAAAAGTTTTTTCCCCAAGCAGAAAGGCTTGGGTATGGAAATCGCCGGAAATCAGGGAGCCCCGTGCTGCTTGTTCAAAGCTTTTCAATGTACTCCCTCCCTACACCGACCGGTGAAACTGACAAGGAAATTTGTCAGTATCACCGCTCTTGTGTTGGGCATGTTCCAGATGCCCCGTGGAGGCGGATTTGCAAGAATAACAATTTAAAACATCTTTTTTTTTTCGGGGGTGGGGGTGGTAAAAGACCTGGGCACCGGCGCGTGCGTAGAAACGGGGGTCCCTACCCCCACCCTCGCCTTTGAACTTCAGGCAACTCCTTTGAACTGCCTTTCTCTGGTGGTGATGGGGGGGAGACGTAGGATGTAAACAAAAGCGAGCACTCGGTGTATATAAAGTGTTCTTAAACCAATGTGATCAGGTGTGTGTGTATACACATAGAGGTGGAGATGTGTGCATAGGGGGGGCGTTTAGATGCGAGGCAAGCGGAAATTTATTCGGGAATGTAAAAATGCGGAGAGCAAAGAGAGAAAACGAGCAGGTAGTCCGTTACATTTTTAAGCTGGAGAAGGCAAGGCCACGGAGGGCAAAAGTCGCCCTAACTAAAATATGAATAATAGTGACTATCTTGCAAGCCATTAAATATTTCTTATACCTGGTGGAGGGGGAGGTAATTTGGAAGTGGCGCCTACTAAGGAGAGAAGCAGCCCTACCCCCACATGTTGGGTCTAAACCGTTGCTCTTTTTAAAACTGGGCGTTTTTGTTTACGTGGAGAAGGCCCCTTAAGTCTCGCTGCGTTCCGTAGGCCATATCCCTTCCTGAAACCTGTTGGATTTAATGTAATATATAATCCAGTTTGTGCTTAATATCAGCCGCTGCTATCTTAATGCATTGCTGTTGCTCTCTGGCATTCATTGAAATAATTGTTATGATGAAAAATCCCTTCATTTTCGTGTTACTTTTTCCGCCTTTGTAAGAACTCTGTGTATGTTTGAGTGCCTGGGAGAGATTGCAGCAATTTTATTTTCACAGAGCGGGAAACTGAGTCCCAGGAATCAAACACAAGCTACTAAAAGCTGGCAAATTTTAACACTTTTTAAACTAGCAACTCTGCGTGCTTAACCTGAGCGTAAATTATCTTCCGAGTCGCAGGATTTAATTCGACTGAAACGTGCCTTAATTCACGGTGTAAAAATGAGGACTTGTTCCCTCCTATTTTGTGCCCAATGATTACGGATTAACCTTCCAGGAAATCTTTAGATTTAGTTGAGAGTAAGCAACGTGCTGCTTCTGTCATGAAGCAGGGGCCCCTCCCCCCCAGTAAGTAGTGGTAGTATTAGTACTAGTAGTAATATCAACAGCTAGTAAGGTCCTAATTCTACCTGGTTTTTAATGCAAGTTATGAGAAGTCCAGGCGCATGTTTCCTTCTTAAAACTATTTTAATTCATTCGTGTATATACAATTTTATTGCAAACCAGCTATTATTCCAGCCTTCAGTATATTTACTAGAAAATAAGTGAAAGGCTTAGCTGAGTTTTTTAGGGGTTTGCTTCTCAAGAAATATTAGGCAATAGCCACCCTGTACGAGTCTACTCAGAAGTAAGCTTTGGAATTTAGTACTGCTTCCTTTCAAATAGGTTGGTGTCCGGGTGATTCCGAATCGGACTCAGAAGCAAGCCCTATAGAGTTGAATAGTGCGTCTTTGAGATTGTATACGATTACTAACTCAAGTAAGCTTTTGAAACAAAACTGAAAAGTTGCTTTTACAAGGCCTTTGGTTAGTTTTATTCCGTCTCCTTCCCCACAAAATGAAAAACCAGTAAAACTGGGCTGGATAAATCGATCCTTTAACTTACCTCTAAAAATAAATAAATGCAGGATCCTTCCTGCCCGTGAAAAGGTCAGAGCCTGTATTATACAAAACTTCTATAAATATACTTTAATTTTTTTTTTTAAAAAATTAGGCGGTTCAGAAAACGACGTTTACTGGATTCGACGTCATTATTTTTTAACGACTTAAAAAAAAATCCCCAAACCGTTCTGGGATGGTGTAGCCACTGCACTTTAATAAGAAAAAGTCTGCTGGTTTTTTTCCCTCCCTTTTAAAACTGTTTTCTAAAGTGGATTACTTCTTCTTTGGATTATTTCTTCTTCTTCTTTTGAAAAAAAAAAACGGTTTCTGAAGTTTTTGCAGAAACTAGCAACCCAAACAGATCTGAATTCTGCTGGGATCGCCTTTCCGTTTAGACGTGTCGTTAAACCGTATAAGGCGCTTGGGTTGAAGCCGGAGTGGGCCGGCCCAAGTTTGGGGGAACTGGTAGCTGGTACCCAGATCCTAAACAGGTTTTACTGGGGAGTAAACATCCGCTTCCTCTCTTTCCGCGGAAGAGCCTCTACTTCCTCCGGAGCAGGAAAACGGTTTCTAATGAACTCTTCGGGCCGCTTCAGCGGCTGATGGAGCCCTTAGGTAGAAATAGTCTCAGTTAAAATCGGTGGATCTGACTTCCAAGTAGGTAAGTAACGCACGGGTTTTATTTATATCACACGGTGTTCCCTGTGTCGGCTCAGAAGTCATTTTCAGTCCGGTTTAGGCCGTCAGGGTCACGCAAAGGATTTCAGGGTATCTTCCACTGTGAACCAAATAGGATGAAAAACGGTGCGAGTACAGTATCTAGGATACGATCTATCGACGTTGGAGTCATTTCGGATACCATCCATTTCCCGAGGAGAAATTACAGTAAAATGCCATGCCTGTCTACTCAGGTGGAAGTTCTTCCATGGATTTAATGCCAGGGAAAGCTTTCCTAGAGCGTCGTTTCGGTCTGCAACTCTATTGGCAAGTTCACACGGAACTCCCTGACACTTCCTTCTGAGTAAGCATGGCACCGCTCATCATATGCTTAAATATTTCTGGTTAAGTGCAACAGGGCTTAGAAGTATTTGGGGGTCCTTACATAATGTCCAATAGTATAACCTTGTATGTTGGACTTAAATACAAGGAATTTTGGTGTTTGAAAGAAGATTGTCTTAATTAGGAGGAGGATTCCTGGCGTTTAGAATTGTACAGGGAAGTCAGAATCGGTAGGTTATAGGTTTATGTCAGTCTGTGGCTGAATTGCTCAGTGAGTTAGGTATCTGGCTATGGATCCAGAAGTTGGGAATTCAGCTCCCCCACTGACCCTCCTGCGAGGAGAGCCAGCCTGGGTGGCCTTGGGCAAGCTGCAGGGTAGCCCCAGGGCAGCCCCCGGAAGAAGGGAGATGGGAAAAGACTTCTGAGTCTGTTTTATTTCCATCGGGTGTTACTTCAGGATCAAGTTCCTAGGCCTCATTGCATTTGCTGCTCTGCTGCCTTAGGCACCCGGACTGTTACTTCCAAACTGGAGTGAACATCCTAAATATGCAACATGGAAAAGTTGGATCGAATCTCTCCTCCCCCCCCCCCGCAACCGCAGGCGCTTTTGTAAAACAAATCTGAAGTGTCTATTCCCAAAGACTCCTTGGGATGCTTTTAGGTTATCTCGAGATGTTGTATAAGCTTACCCATGTTTACTGGGAAGTAACATTTTAGAGATTCAAA